TGGTTTTCACTCCCACTGCATGCAGGTACAACAGTTCTTACCGCCATAAGAAACACTGTTGATCCACAAACAGAAGTTATCTTCAAGGAAAATCCTGACTCTGCATTCGTCGAGTCCAATGACTTTGAATATGCCATTGTAGTAGTGGGGGAGCTACCCTATTCAGAAACATTCGGAGATAGTTTGAACTTGACAATTCCTGAACCAGGTCCAAGCATCATCAGAAACATCTGCGGCTCTCTGAAATGTGCTGTAGTTCTTATATCTGGCCGTCCAGTGGTGATCCAACCGTACCTTGATCAAATTGATGCACTTGTGGCTGCTTGGCTACCTGGAACCGAAGGTCAAGGTGTTGCTGATGTTTTGTTCGGCGATTATGGTTTCACTGGCAAGCTACCTCATACATGGTTTAAGACTGTTGATCAGCTTCCCATGAATGTTGGGGACTCACATTATGACCCGTTGTTCCCGTTTGGTTTTGGCCTCACAACAGAACCTGTGGAGGCGTATAACTCCTCCTAGTAAGGAAAATCCTCCCACTCTAGTATGTCCATAGTACTATGTCAAGTAAGTATGATCATTGTTTACCCAGCCCACAGATGTATGTTTCCCAGAAAACAGTGAAGCAATGGGAAAAACATTTCAAGGGTATTAAATTGGCTATAACTTCATCTTTCGTAAAGCTTATTAAAGTTTAAATTGGAGGACCATGAAGTCTTGATTAGCCTTGGAGTTGGCGGACCTCGTGGTCATCCAACTATTACTATTGGGAGCTCATTTTCTTTAGTTTAAAAAGATGAAGAAACAGGAATTTGGAAAAGACGAATATGCATTGTGAATGTGATGGTTCAGATATGCAAAGCATACTGGAACAAACTTTTGGATTCTTTATGAATTTTTTTGCTTTCGGAATCATATGCCCAATAAATGCCATGAAATGTGTCAGGCACCGTACAAGCGTATCAGACAATCAGTGTGTGCATGAAAAGGAAAAATAACTGTCAGAACTTTCAAGCAAAAAAATCGCAACTTTCCAGCAAAGAGATTCTGATTAATGTAGCGATTGATTAACATTTTAGTGCCCATAAGCTGACTGAAACTGAAAGGTCAGTGTGTTCAGAAAATATCTGCTGGATTACACCATACCGTCTCCCCACTTCATCCCACTTATAACAGTTTCAGTAAGACCCTCTCTGTCTTTTTATGTGTTTTTGTTTGTTTGTGTGTACCACTATTCTAAGTTTAGAACACTAGACAATGAAACAACTTGAGTGCAGAGGTCTGAAAGTTGCAACTCCCATGACGTCTCTGTAACTGTTAAGTTCCTTTTCTCTTTGGATTGGGTGATGCACTAATCTTCGAAGTTCGGCCCAGAAGGGCTCAAATTTTCACAAATTTTGCAGTTTTTAAATTTGAAGTTTCTTGGATTTCTACCCTTCATCAAATTCAACAGATTTTTATTTGCCCCTTGATACTCAAAATCAAATTCTGACAATCTGACTCAACAACCTTTTATGGGTTTCCCGGAAGAAAGCATATATGCATGAATGTCAGTCACACTTCAGAGCATTTAATGAGTCTCTGGAAAACTTGATTCTATAATTGGAATGCCTTTGCTTGATCTTATCATTTATTTACAAGTATAAATAGCTGAATAAAGACAGTAATTTTACTTCCCAGACCGCTGCGATATAGAATTAAGGTACGTTCTTTATGGTTCTCTTGTCCCCTTTTTTTATGTTGTTGAAATGGTGGAACTGAAAGACCATTTATGTTGCTTTGCAGAACAGAACAGAGCCGATGCTTAAAATGAGGAAGTGTTGCTATTTGATTATATTTATATGGTTTCTGGGCTTGTGTTGTTGGAGTGTGAACACAGAAGCCGAATACATGAGGTACAAAGATCCTAAGCAACCAATTGCTGTGAGGATCAAGGATTTGATGGGAAGGATGACCTTGGAGGAAAAGATTGGTCAAATGTCACAGATTGAGCGCTCTGTTGCCACAGCTGAAGTTATGAGAAACTATTTCATAGGTAACCCCCTGTGTCCACATTCTCTCATTCACTGATACTCTCTTTGTCCCAAAATTATTGTCCAGTTGGAATTTTCATTTTCACTTCAATTTGTACTAAAACTGAAAATCGAAACTGAACAATAATTTTGGGACGGAGGGCGTATTTAGCATTTGGAGAATAAGACGTGTAACTATTACTGGGTAAAAATTGATGAACAACAGGTAGTGTTTTGAGTGGTGGAGGCAGCGTTCCAGCTGAACAAGCGTCTCCGGAGATGTGGATAGACATGGTGAATGACTTGCAGAAAGGCTCCTTATCAACCCGTCTTGGCATACCGATGATATATGCGATTGATGCGGTACATGGGAATAATAATGTCTACAAAGCTACCATTTTCCCACACAATATTGGTCTTGGAGCCACAAGGCAAGTTGCATTTGATTGATCTATATATACATCTTTCTGATAAGTTATTATACATACAATTTGATTATACCTGCTACAATATTGCGTATCAGGGATCCTGAACTAGTGAAGAAGATAGGAGCTGCAACTGCTCTTGAAGTCAGAGCTACAGGAATTCAGTACACTTTCGCTCCTTGCGTTGCGGTGAATAATTCTCATTGTTTCTACTGTTTTTACGTATATAAACCGTGGAAGAATTAGCATAAAAAGTTTTCATCTTTGGTGAAGAAGTAATTTGGTGACACCACAGGTTTGTAGAGATCCGAGATGGGGTCGCTGTTATGAGAGCTACAGTTCAGAACCTGAAGTTGTTCGAACAATGACTGAGATCATTCCAGGCTTACAAGGAGAAATTCCTGCTAATTTCCAGAAGGGTGTGCCTTATATGTCAGGAAAGTATGTAACTGATGAACTAATTGCTCTTTCTATGCTCAGGTTGAGTGAAAAAGATTGAACATCATTCTAATATGACGTATATATTCACAGGGATAAAGTTTTAGCCTGTGCAAAGCACTTTGTTGGTGATGGTGGTACAACCAAAGGCATCAATGCGAATAATACTGAGACTAACTGGCATCAACTCCTTAGTGTCCATATGGCACCCTACTATGATTCAGTCATCAAGGGTGTATCTACAATCATGACCTCGTATTCTAGCTGGAATGGTGTAAAGATGCATGCTAATCGTGATCTCATTACGGGTTTCCTCAAGAATACTATGCGTTTTCGGGTACATCCAACTTTTCTACTTGACTTCAACTACAAATATCATGTCTGAAATTAAACATTAAAGATATTACTAAGCTAAGTTGTGAATTCTCGCAGGGGTTTGTCATCTCAGATCTTGAGGGTATTGATCAGATCACTACCCCTCCCCATTTGAACTACACGTATTCCATTGTGACTGGTGTCAATGCAGGCATTGACATGGTAGGCTGGCTCATTTAGCTTTTGTAGAAGTAAATGATGATTTTTGCCTAAAATGAATGGCTGTTCTTCGCTCATTTGACTAGTTTATGATTTGCAGATTATGATTGGAGTCAACTATACAGAGTTCATTGATGGACTAACCGCTTTGGTGAAAAATAATTTTGTTCCAATGACCCGAATCGATGATGCTGTGAAGAGGATTCTTAGGGTAAAGTTCATGATGGGCCTATTTGAGAACCCTTTATCTGATTACAGCATGAAGAAGTATCTTGGATCTGAGGTAACCAACAAATGAGTCCCATTGTTGGATAAGGAAGTGAAGTTGTAGATTATTAAATGGTTAACTTGAACAGGATAACAGAGAACTGGCAAGGGAAGCAGTGAGGAAATCTCTGGTGCTACTGAAAAATGGGAAATCTGTAGATCAGCCTTTGCTACCACTCCCAAAGCAAAAGTCTAGAATACTGGTGGCTGGAGGACATGCAAATGACATTGGGAACCAGTGTGGAGGTTGGACCATTGGTTGGCAAGGCCTTAGTGGCAATATAACTGCTGGTATGTCTATTATGATACCTCTGAATTTAACTCTCCCTCTGCCCAAAAATTATTGTCCAGTTATCAGTTTGGGTCTCTGAGGGAGTAACATCGTTTTCTCCTCACGTTTCCTTGTTCTCTCCTCCATAGGTACTACAATCCTTGCCGCCATAAAAAACACTGTCGATCCAAACACAGAAGTTACCTTTGAAGAAAATCCTGATGCAGCATTCGCAAAATCTGGCAAATTTTCATTTGCTATTGTTGTTGTGGGAGAGCCACCTTATGCAGAGTCACTGGGAGACAGCTTCAACTTGACAATTCCTGAGCCAGGTCCAAGCATCATAACAAATGTATGCGGCGCAGTGAAATGTGTAGTTGTTCTTGTAACTGGACGTCCAGTGGTGATTCAACCGTATCTTGATCAGATTGATGCTCTTGTAGCCGCTTGGCTTCCAGGCACCGAAGGACAAGGAGTTGCTGATGTTTTATTTGGCAACCACAGATTCACAGGCAAGCTTCCGCACCCGTGGTTCAAGACAGTTGATCAGCTTCCTATGAATGTTGGGGATCACCATTATGATCCTCTATTCCCATTTGGATTCGGCCTTACAACAGTATCTAAGGATGCTCATTAGTTCTCATATTTAGTGTATTAGGTACTCAGGATAGAGAGCTTACAAGTTGATCATAACATGAACTGATTGTAATGAAAGAGGCCTTGGTTTCTGCACTTTATGAATGAATCAACTTGATTTCTATAATTTCCTTTGGTAGAAGAAAGATCGTCACAACTCACCATTACAAAATATAGTACTACCACTCAGCTGACACCAGACATATAAACACATCCTAATTTCTTTAAAAACTGAAAAAGTCATCTTGTTCACGGCAAATATGCCCTTCAATATGAAAATTGCAAATACAGTAGAGTGACAGAGCCTGTAACTGAGGGTGTATCCTATTTGCTGCAGATAGACAGCTCATAAGCACAACCTAAGTACATACATTTGAAATCTCATGTTAGAGCAAACGAAAAGATCAAAACTCAATCCTAAGCAACCTGAATATCAGCTTGCTTATCGTCAGTCTTCTTTTCCAGATCTTTGGGTTTCTCAACAGGAACATGATTGCAATCCTCGGCTTCTTTGATCATCTTCAAAATGTCAGCCTTCTTCTCCTGAAGACTCTCAATCTTGGAGTTGATTTTTGCTAATTTTTCTTTCAATTTGTCGAGACTCATACCTTTGTCCTTATCTTCAACTTTTCTTTTCTTGTCATCCTTGTTCTTTTTGTCTTTGTCCTTTTTATCCTTACCATCCTTCACTTCTTTCTGTTCACCATCTTCTGCGTGACCCGAGATCTTTCCATCTTCACTCTCAGAGACAGTAATTTCCCTTGAGGCGACTTCATTACCACTAGGACTACTCTCACAAGCCTCATTTCCACTTTTCTTTTCTTTCTCCTTTTTCTTCTTCTTGTCCTTCTTCTCTTTATGCTCGTCCTCCTCTCCATCTGTTTCCTTACCAAAATCTCCCTCCTTGTTCTTTTTTTCCTTCTCTTTCTTCTTATCCTTTTTTTCTTTGAGCTCTTCCTCCTCTCCATCTGTTCCCTTACTGGATTCTCCCTCCTTGTCTTTCTTGTGCTTTTTCTCCGTCTCTTTCTTGTCTTTCTTCCCTCCATCCTTTTCATCTGAATCCTTCTTGGATGCGCTCTCTAATTTCTCTTTGCCTTCAGCTTCCTTATGCTTATCTTTCTTCTCCTTTTTCTTCTTATCTTTCTTTTCCTCAGCTTCTTCATTGCTGTCTTCCTCTACTTCTTTTTTGTCTTCTTTACCCTTCTTCTCTTTCTTATCTTTTTTCTCTTTTCCTGACTTCTTTGCCTCATCGTGCTCCTCCAAATCTTCGCCATCCTTGTGCTTCTTCTCCTTCTTTTTCTTCTTTTCTCCTTCGTTATCACTATTACTCTCTTTCTTTGAGGATTTCTTTTCCTCTTTCTCTTTTTCTTTCAGCTTCTTTTTGTCTTCTTTCTCTTCCTTATCCTCTGGTTTTTCCTTCTCCATTGATTTGGTTTTCTTCACTTCCACTTTCACCTTTGTCTTCTCCTCAGCTTCATCAGAATGTTTCACTGTTTTCTCTACAACCTTCATGTGAAACTCTTCCTTCTCCACCTTCTCTTCAGCACCCTCAACCACAACTGCAGATTTGTCTTCCATGTCAGCAGCCTAGCGATTCAATGACAGTCAACAATTGAGCCTACCTAAGCGTCTGAAAAAAATTCAACGAAACATATAAGAACACAGTTTAGCATTTTCCCTCACACCCATGTTATTGGAAGAAGAAAAAAAAAAGGTACACAAAACAAAAAATGAAGCCAATGAACTTCCACATGGATAATCCAAAAACTCAGAAGTCAAGACTAGCACTAATACTTGAAGAAATTATAAATGAATGAGCTCTAAATCAATTATGTGATTTTGGAGACACAGGAAGAAGATAGGACAAAAAAATCATAATAAGATGGCCTCATAGACATAATTCTACAAACTCATAATCAATCATAATAAGACACAGGAGAACCATAACTTTAAACTAAAAACCTTAAACACACAGAAACCATTAATTAATAATAAGATGGCCTCATAGACATAATTCTACAAACTCATAATCAATCTATCTGTCAACATGGGTTTATTTGGGACTGTGAAGTTAATTTATTCAATCAACACTCAAAGAGTGATGCAGTAAAATTTGAAAGCGGGTCAATCATGAACATCTCTCTGATCTACTCCAATCTAATTCCTAATACCATAGCAAGCAGAATACAACCCATGTTGACACTCAATGCTAGCCTACAACTAACTACAGTCTCTAGATAGAAAAACACGGGAAATCAGAAACATAAAAGGAGATCTCCAAAAGATCCCACATGACATCCCAAATCCAAGAGACTCAAACTAACATTAAAAGAATTCAAGAACTGATGTCAGAATGAGATGAACCATCATAACAGCGAGCATAATTCAAAATACAATGATCACAACAAAAAAAGCGCATTTCTTGATGAGAGAAAATGTAAAGAACCAGATGAAAATCTTACCTCTGGAGGAATAAAGCTATGGCCTTTGGAAGCTGGCTCTGGGTTTTTTGGGGTGAGAATGCAGGGGAAACTGAAAAGGGAGTATGTTCTTCTAACTTCTGGAGTTTCTGGATGATCATCATAGAGTGAAAGACTACAAGTAGTATATTTATAAGACAGAAGAAGAAGAAGAAGAATAGACTGCAAAATCTATTTGACGCGTAAATGATGTGACGCGGACGAGACCCCGAAGTTGAAACGGGTACAACACACATTTTCTAATAAGCAAGTGGATGCTTTTTTTTGTCTTAAGGAGGGAAATTAATGGTTTTATTTATCTGAATTTTGTTGGATTTGATCTTTGGGATTTTTAAAATACTTCCAGAAATTGTTTTTTGTTTTTTAATTCAACCCGGTTAAAGGAAATACGTACTTCCAGATTAAGGCACAAAAGTTACAGAGGAAAAAACCACTCAAACTCAACTACCGACGACCCCAAGTGTGACAAATATTTCCCTTTCCGACCCAAGTTTTGCATTAAATGTGGGATTTATCGAATAAGGAAATGTCATGTTCAGTATACTACAACACTTAAGGGAGAGGACAACAGATAGAAAGTAGAGTTCAAGTTTAAGGAAAGACATATAATTCCTTTTCCTTTTTGCAATATCAAAGAAATGCATATAACTTTTGCACCCAAAAAAAAAAAAAAAGGTTGTTCTACACCATTACGTACTTCCTTTATTTCGAAATCAAGATAAATGTAATTATTATTATTTTTTTCAACTTTACCCTCACCGATACAAAAACTTTTTTTTCATCAATCTTGTTTTATATTTTTAACTCCTTGCAATACATTTTAGTTCGGCCACTGGCAATGGTTATTGGTTAAGGATGATGATTGTAGGAATTCTAGTTGAGCATGATAATTAGACCAAAGTGCTACATCCAAAATCAGGCCTAAAATATATACGGAGATTACCAGAATAACAATAATCTAATAATGGGTATCATGATTTTCTTTTTTAAAAAAATAAAATAAAATAAAATAAAGTAGCATGAAATTGACTCAAGTCCCACCGCCCCAACAACACAACCATTACCATCCCAACTTCCCTGGCAGACATCCCCATTTTCTGTTTGCATTCAGCCCATTGGTTGTATCCTAGTTCCTGTCCTACCCGCCACCACCTTCTACATATATGTTATTATTATAAAATAATACCCCGTACTTTCTTTTCTCAAAATAAAAATCTAATTTAAATTTCTACTTTTAGTACATTTTGAACTGAAATTTAAAATAGAAAATTAGATAATAATTTTGAAACTGCGAAAATATGTTTTACTAGTCCCATCACTTGGATTATTTTTTGAAAACATTATTTCTTTAATTTTTAAAAAAGTGCTTATTTTTGTTGAGCTATTTTACTTAAAACAAAATATGAATATGTTCATTGGCTAGTACTAGATTTCAAATTAAAAGTAAATCGCTAAAAGTAATACGGCTACTTTTTGTGATTCGTTCAAAATATATCAAACAAGACGGCATACGCTAAACAGATTAGATCTTTTGTTTCAAAAAAAAAAAAAAACATAAAATTAGATCTTTTAGATTTTATATCTGTTTAAAAAAGATGTTACTATTATTATATTGGTTCCAATTAAATTGACCAATATATTATATCGTTTTGATTCAACAAAATGAATTAAACAAAGTTCTTTAAACTTTCCACCTTAACATTGAAATTCCAACTCTTTTAGAATTTATTATTATTATTTTGTATATAATTATTTATTTTATTTTTTAATTTTAATACAATTTTAACTAAAAATATAAATCTAAACTGGATAATAATTTTAAAATGGAAAGAATAATATTTTTGTACTAATCTACTCGCTGAGTTATATTAAAAAAAATCACTATGCTTATTTTTGAGGAACCAATATATAAGTACTATTGTTTTTCGGTGCGAAGGAACCGATAATATATTTAAGTGTTCTTTACTCGAATCAACAGACAGAAGAACTCAATTATTCATTCATACTTTGAATAGGAAAGCTGCCTTTCCGCTCCTTCATTCCTTTTTTTAATTCAACGCAGAAGAAAACCCAAAAAAGAAAAAAAAAGGGAAAAATTAAAAAAAAAAAAACACGCAGTTTCACATACATTAGAATCCCGTCTGTCTTTCTCTTCGCTGTTTCTCTCTGGTTTTTGAGTCTCTGTTTCTCTCTCTCTTTCCAGAAGAAGAAAGCGAAGGAGAGAAGAAAAGAGATCTCTTATCTTTTTATATATTTCGTTCTTCCTTTTGAAGCTTTAATTCCCCTTCTTTTTGATCTGTTTGATCTTCTCTGCATTGTCGGACTCCGCCAATATGAACAACCTATTAACGGTACTATTCCTTTACCCTTTTTTGTTTTTTTTTTAATTGTTTTTTTCTTTCGTTTTTGTATATTTTGCTCCATTTTGCATCTGAAATTTCGTATCTGATTCTTAACATAGCTGTACATAGATTATTTTGGAAAAAATATGAAATAAACCAATGTAAAGGAAGGATTTTTGGGTCTTCTTCGTTGGTGAATGTATGTTAGGAACAATGTTGGTTTTCATCTCTTTCAGGAATCAATAAAGGCAAACTTAGTTGAGTAACAAATTGGCAGATTGCGTTTAATCTGATTAAGTCTGTGGATTCTTGACTGCATTAATGGGATCACTTTGTTTTCATTTGAAGCTAAGTTTTGCAATTGAAACGTAAACCCAGAAGAATTCTTAATGAAATTTCCATCTTTATTAAGAGTTGCCGCCCATAAGTTGTGGGTTTTGGCAGTTGTTGAGGTAGGATGGGAAAGACTAAAAGGAATTGACTTTAAGAAAAAATTGTTTTCTATGGATCGATGTTTGATCTGAAAGGTTACAAGGGGAGCTTTTTAGTTTTGTTTCTTCTAAAGGCTGGAACGGAGGACTAGGGTCTTGCACTTTCTTATGATTGAGTAAATTTGAGTTCTTTTTCCTGAGATGCTAAAATGCTTTAGAAGTAGTTACCACTTGGAAGGTCTTGTTGGATAGCTATTCCGAAAGTAGTCCTACTTTTGAAATTTCTAATCCTGGCGATGTTGAATATTAAGATGGACAATCCAGTACTTTTCTTTTAAGTTTCAGTCATCATAAATTACTGAAATGTCTCATCTTTAAGTATTGTCTTATTAAGGAGGAACTTAGCTACACCACTTCCAATAGCTGTAAAATCTGAGTTTAGGACTTGTAAGACTGATTTGCTTCTTTTATCTTTGTTCAGGATTCGTTTGTCATCCCTAAGGGTGAAACTTCACGGGATGGAGATATTGAAATGGGATCACAGCCACCGATGAACTCAGGAGAACTTGGCCTGGACAATTTTTTTAAGAAGGTGAATGCGGATTCCAGTTATCTCTTTTTTTTGTTTGTGATTTAGAAAAATTAGTTGTACATTTTCTTATGAGTTTTGCCTTTACCCTTCTCAATTTTTGCTTTTATGGCTAAGTCCATTGATTAAGCCACGTTCTAATCTTCAATCATTTTTTCATTAGGTGCAAGGGATTGAGAAGCAATTCGAGAAACTGAATCAGCTGCTTAGAAAGCTACAGGTACACATTTAGTTTCCTCTGCCCTTTAATTCCCTTCAATTTGACTCGTATTTTTGACAGTCTGCGGATTCCTTTTACTTTTTTTATTTCTGGATCGAATCCTAATGTTCATTATTTTTGTTCCGTTTGTTTATATTTTTCCTGTTAGACTTCATAAAAATTATTTTTGTTTTTCTTTGCACAAATTTCGATCAAAAGTTGGAAAGGATTCATTTTTTGACCTTAAAGACTTTAAATTTCGCTCTTCTTAATGGAATTAAAGTTCAAATAATTTGAAATCTCGAGGCAAGCCATGAATGAATCCAGCACTTTTACCAATTAACATCCTATCAGAAATTTTTCCTAGCCTTACCTGACGGGTTAGTTGAGTATTGAAATATATTTTACCTCCTTTGTCTGCTTATTTCTTTTTGTAATAATGCATACAGGATGCCCATGAGGAATCAAAGGCTGTAACCAAAGCCTCGGCCATGAAAGGTAATTAGGATTTGGCTTGATTCTATTTTAGCATTTTTTCATGATATTGTTCTATTTGATAAATATGATGATCTTTTCAGAATAATAATAATAATAATAATAATTATGATGATTATTTTGATTCCCTTGCCTGGCAGTTATGATGCAGACCTAGAATGGTTCTGTTAATTCTGGAGATTAGCTGACGTTAAGTTCATAAAATTCTGCCTCATAAGAGGCCTGATATTCAGAAAGTGTTGCATATGGCTTTATTTCGATAGATTACTGAACTCTCTTTCATGTTTCCCTGTTTTACTTTCTTCCCACTCCATGCCTGTCCTATTTGTGCTCAATATCCAGGAGAGGTTGGTACTGTCAATTCCTATGGTGTTTGGAACAAATTTTATGTAGTTTCTTCTCTTCCCGTGGCCTCGCAAAGCTGCAATTTTAATGTGCATTGTAGTAATCAAAGTAGTTTTTTAGTATGGGCGTATTCCTTGACATGTTGCATTGATGATTGCTTATGGAAATAGGCAGTTTCTAGTAGGCACTGGATGCTCTTAACTTCCTACTAATGTCTACATTAAAACATTCAGTTTGGTAAATATTAAGGTCTTTTTGTTTCAGTAATTTATTTAATGTTAATACATCGTGTCATATTTTTCAGGAATTAAGCAAAGAATGGAGAAAGATGTCGATGAAGTCGGAAAAGTTACTCGTTTCATCAAATCAAAAATAGAGGAACTTGACAGAGAGGTAACTGTTTGCTCTATTAGTTTGAATCTTTGCATCTATTGACACTAACATTCTCTTACTCTCCAGAATTTGGCTAATAGACAAAAGCCTAACTGTGGGAAAGGTTCAGCTGTTGACAGATCAAGATCTGCCACAACAGTGTAAGTTTGATGGCATTGAACTCATCTTTTCATCCTTCAGCGCTTATGTATTATGAGCAATTGAAATATGTTGCATTGCTTCACGATCTATTACTTTTAGGTGGAGAGAATAATATTTTTTAGTTGGTTGTATCCATGTCTTCTTTTGATCGGCTGCCGTAAGCACACGAAATTCTAGTATTTAATTTAACCTCACATTTGTACTATATTTTGTTTTTTCTGATTTTCCTCCCCATGTCTTTTTTTTCTTATTGTGAACCTCACTATTGTCACTTAGCAGACCTCAGAGGGTTTGAGAATATAACTGACATCTACTGATTTTCACAGTGAAGCAGCCTCAAGTGCTGTCACTCACATGATCCATCTTTGTTGTTGTCTTTAAGCATTTATGTCTTAACTTGGTGTCTCTTGAATATTTCGTTTTCTCGGTTTGGTGGAGGGGGGAAATAGATAGTTTAAGAACTCTCAGCAAGTTGTTCTGTTACATTGCAACTAAAAATACTTTGATTTAATCAACACTAACAAGTACCCTATATATCAAGAGAAATTTTGTTTCTGAGGTGTTTTTTTTCTCCTCCTCTGATTGCAGTGCTCTGAAAAAGAAGTTCAAGGATAAGATGTCTGAATTCCAGGTAGGTTCATCTCTTTCTGACATTGAAAGTGTGTTTCTTATACAGTGTCCTCTTATCCTTATAAGTTCCTTTTCTGATACTTTCAGACTTTGAGGGAGAACATTCACCAAGAGTATCGTGAGGTTGTTGAAAGACGAGTATTTACAGGTTCGATGTCCTTACTCGTTTAGAAACTTCAATTCATTCTATTTACTCCTAATGCATTTTGACGAGTTGAAGTTTGTTTTTGTTTATCTTATTGTCAGTAACTGGAACTCGAGCAGATGAAGAGGTGAGGATGGAATGTTCTGCAGTTTGGACCATTTAGATTTTTCATATGGATGTTTATAAGTTTTTACAATTTCGCAGACCATTGATAAAATGATAGAGACTGGGGATAGTGAACAGATCTTCCAGAAAGCTATTCGAGAACAGGGCCGTGGACAGGTTTTATTTTTTCTTTATCTTGCTCTCTTCCATCTTTATTTATATGCAGTATCAGGAATCCAATTGCTTCCTCCCCTCCTCACATGTGAATATTGTGTTGTAATTGACCCCCTCACAGCAGACTGTAGGAATGAGTGTCTGTTGCTTTTTATTTATTTTATTTTTAATTTTTTTTAATATAATGTGTATTAACCAATCTAAAATAGTGCAATCCGTGTCCTTGTTATGATTGCAGATAATGGATACGCTTGCTGAAATTCAAGAACGCCATGATGCTGTCCGAGATTTAGAGAAGAAGCTTAATGACTTGCAACAGGTAATTTAATATCTGAAAGCAGGTGACAATTAATATGAATGGATAAGTGTATTGTAGTGATGTTAGGATAATTTCTTTTGAATGATACTTTAATTGCCAAGTTCCTCTTTTTCTAAAGCATCTGCGTGAAGTCTTTATGTTATCCATCTGCCTACTAATGATATTGTAAAATATTATTTTAATGGCAGATATTCTTAGACATGGCAGTTTTAGTAGATGCTCAAGGCGACATGCTTGATAATATTGAGACACAGGTAATTGATAAAACAATATGCTCACTGATCCTCTCTTCTTTTGCCAACAAGGACTGAATCTCATCTATATAAGTCATGAAGCTTGTTCATCAATCGTCTCATCTTCTCCAATTCAAATTTCAGGTTTCAAATGCAGTAGATCACGTGCAGAGTGGAAATGTTGCCCTTCAAAAGGCAAAGTCACTGCAAAAGAACTCCAGAAAATGGATGTGCTTCGCAATCCTTATTCTCCTTATTATTGTGGCAATTATTGTCGTGGGAGTTCTCAAGCCATGGAGCAACAAGAACGGTGCTTAGATTTGTTTTTTCCTCCTATGTAGGCTGTATAAATTCAAACCAAAAAGGGAAAGAGAGAAGTATAAAATCCATTCCATTTGGTTTTCTATTATGTCTTCATTCTTTGGAGAGTTGGTTTAATTGGCTGCTGAGTTTTATAATGTGTGTAATATTATTCTTTGCTGGTGCACATAATCTCTGCTTCGTTCTACACGTTATATACACTAACATATACTGATACCATGTGAAGGTTATATATATAAATTCTTTGGTGTTTTTCATGGATTATCAGTCATTCATGTCTTCATTTTTCTTCACCAACTGGTAAAGTTTATCAGCGTTAACCTGGGTTGCAATTGCTTCAATTAACAAAGATGGGAAGATGGGCATATTGCTCCAACTTCCTACAAGTTCACACTTGCACAGTGGCTAATGCTATAGAATAACAAAATTTTCCACAAGGGTAGATGAAAAAGTAACAGTCATTGGTCACTTAATTTACATCTCCAATAACTCTCATGGAATTGCGCCGTAGCCACAGTTCAAGCATGACCATATAAAATGCATCGTAATCAAGACAAGGAAAATGCCACTGGAAATGTTTTCTAACTTTTAGAAGATTGTTTCTCAGTACTACATATTCATCATCACTAATGTCCTGCAAAATCTTCTTCAGCTGTGGGATGTCTAATGTTGCAACAACAACAGAAAAACTCTTCCAGTTAAGCATGTCAGAAAATGGAAGATCATAATGGTTGGCAATGATCACAGGCACACACCCAAAATATACTGCATCACCAATACGAGCTGTGTTAACCTCAAAGCCTTTAACATGAAGGCAGAATTTGCTATCAAGAAGCTCCTCAGTGTATGATCTTTGAAGGTGACCTCTGTGGACAGATATCTCTGTATCATTTTCCCATACTTGAAGAAGCTTTTCACGGACAGGAGAGTTCAATGAACCAGAAAAAAAAGCGAGCTTTTCCCTGAAAAGTTTGCAGGCCAAAATTGTAAGGCATCAAATTTAGAAGAGTAAAGGAAGAAGTACCTTTTCCTATTAATAGCTTTCACCTTTTCTTGGATGCAAAATCAGGGTTATCTCCATGCCTCGGCCAAATCTGTGGCAACGACGCGTCTTTGTGAGCGACATAAGCTGATGCATAGTAGCTGGAAGAACAGACAACTTGGATGGCATTGAGTTTAAGTTCAACAGCTTTATTTATCGCAGACCGTCCAACAGAATGGCAAGCAACATAGAAATGATCAGAACCGCCAGTGCGATTCCAGAAAGGGTACTCATGGCTGATGTTAAATAGATAGTCTCTGATGAAATCCTGAATGCCACTGATCCCAACTCGAGAATCATGCCTTAATCTGGCAATTGCAAAGGGCAGAAAAAAGAGATCAGCTTCGTATGGGTCTTTGGTTATGAAATGGCTGGACAAAAGTGCCTTCTTGAAATAGCTTTCACTAGCATAGTTACCCCCAGGTTCAAACTCCACTGGCAAAAGGACATTGGCAAATGGATGATCTCTTCCGTAAGGATAAACGTAGATTTTGAAACTCTTGTTCATTTCCCTATAATTATCCATAAATAGATCCTTGTCATGGTACTCCTCTGTATCCACATCGTCTCCTACACATTGAACGAAAAATGTAATAAATCAGATTACCATTTGTGGAGGAAAGGACTAATAACTAAAGCCCCTAAAATTACAACAATTCATTAATTTAAGAAAACACACCAACAATCAATAATAAACCTTAACACTACCTTACACGCAAATAAAAAATCAGAGTCCCCTGTTTCTTTCGCATTTTGTCCCAATTTACAATAAAAATCAGAAACTTCATGCTCTAACTCAACATAAAGCAATAGCGGCTCAAACTAAAGCCCATGAAATTACAACAATTCGTTAATTTAAGAAAACACGCCAACTCGTAGTTAAATAGCAGTATAGCTTAACTCACCACTTGATTTCTTGTCCAATTCCTCAGCATTCCGCTGGAAAGTCTCCTCATCAATGCCAAAGTGAGAACCTTTATTGAAATCGTTCGAAAATAAGTTACTTTCCCCTGTTAAGCTGGGAATTGAGTCCAAAATGGGGGGATTATTGCTACATCCATGATGCCTAAGAGTTGAGCTCGAATTTAAGGCCGACCCATGAGCTGATTGAAGGAGACGGAGATGGCTTTGTTCAGGGAAAACGAAAAGAAAAGTAGAAGAGGAGGAAGAGATGTAGAAGAGAACAGAACAAGTGGTGAGCAAAGCAAAAGTGGTGGGGATAAAGAAAATGGCTCTGAGGGAGTGCAGTTTAGTTAGTTTAGCACAGAACTGAGTGTTGCAGAGCATCACCAGAGCTGAAGCTGCTGCCATTGTTGTTGGGAATTTCTGGGCGGTGGTTGGTCCACTCCACACATACCTCCGGCGTATTCCCAACCAACAACCAAAAAAACAGGAAAAAAAAAAAAAAGACAACAAAAGCATGAAAACGATAACATGGCCTCCTCATTTAAGGCACAATTCCCGTGTCCCAATTTCAGTGTATATGTATCACACAAGGCGCACGACACAAGGCATATTGTGTTCCAAAACGACGTAGTCTCTCTGATCTTCCGGCCTTGCTTTGTCGGTGTGGGTCTACTCATTTTTTTTTTAATTAAACCAGACAAGTACCTGGAAAATTTATATGTAACCAGAAATATTTTTCAGAGCAATTCTTAAAATTTACAATGTACAAAAGACTGTAAAAAAAAATAGAAATTTAAATATCAGTAAATATACTGATACTTTCAAAAGAGACCTAATTAGACCTTTACAAAATTGGACTTTCAAAAGATTTCTTCTTTTTCTTTTTAACTATTGTCTAAATAAAAGATAACAGTCTACATAGTACATGCATTAGTGCGTTTCTGTTTCATCCACTCTTTTTCCCCCCCTCAGCAGTATAGCAATTAAATGGATTTTGTACAAAGAGAAAAACCAAATTAGAAGAACAAAAAAAAAAAAAAGAACCAAATTATGAATATGAAACGTTGTATTTCAGCCATCGATTCAAAAATCTAAGGAGGCACTTCTAATAAAAAAAAAAAAAAAAAACCAGATGATGTGTACAACAAAGTAATTAGATTAAGATAATAAATTCTTTTTTTTGGCACAATATAAGGAAGCAGTTGCCTGATAGATTAAATCACTATAGATCGTGGTAAACAACACCAACGATATCATGATAGTATGTTCCAATCATAGATATCTTAAATAGTATAGACTAAAGTTTCGGTTATATATTTTTCAGAAAAAAAAAACTAGTGAAACTTTTTGACTCGTTATTTCTCAACTGTTTGTTAACCTGCATAAAATAATTCAAACTATCTTTTTGTAAGGTACAATAATGAGAATCACGATGTTATGTCACCCCTCAAAGTATTGAAAATCAGAAGATATAAAGTACAAATATACAAGAGCATCAAATAAATTGTGATGGGTGACATGATTTCATATTCCTAACGTGTATATATCTATAAATTAGCTAGATCACTGTCTTAGTGTGAGACGGCTTCTCCGAAGCCATAACTGGAACATGGCCATGAAGAAAGCGTCGTAGTCAACCGGAATTTCATGCCACTGGAAGTGTTTTCTTACCTGCATCACATTCCTCTGAAACTTCACGTAGTTTTTGGAACTTACTTCTTTGCCAAGTATGTGCTTCAGCATTGGAATATCCATGCTCATCATCACCACCGAAAACCTCTCCCAATTCAATATGTCCGAAAATGGGAGATCATAGTAATCCGCAAGGATAACTGGGACACAACCATAATACAAAGCATCCCCAATTCTAGCTGTGTTTACTTCAAACCCTTTTGCATGCAGGCAAAACTTGCTTCCAAGAAGTGCTTCTGAGTATGGTGTTTTAAGCCTCCTTTTGTGGACGGATATTTCCGTGTCATTTTCCCATACTTGGACTAAAAACTTGCGCTCCCTAGAGTTCATTGCCCCCGCATAAAAAGCTAGCTTTTTCCTGATCAATATTTATTGTGATTCTAGTCAGTACAAATCTCAAAATTCAATATCTGACTATTTTTTTTCGGGACAGAAAGAGTATATGGTGCAAGGGGATATGTACCTCTTTGAGGGTGCTCGTGTTGGGGGATTTCCTTTTCGAGGCCAAATTTGTGGAATGGATGCATCTTTGTGGGGAACATAACCAGTAAGAAAATAGCTGGAGGAGCAAACAACTTGTATTGCATTTATCTCAACTTGAATGGCTTTCTTCATGGCAGTTTTCCCAATGGAATGACAAGCCACGTAGAAATGATCGGCGCCGCCGGTTCGGTTCCAGTAAGGATACTCATGACTGATGTTGTAAATATAGTTTTTGACAAAATCCGGGATTCCCTTTACTCCAATTCTTGTGTCGTGTCTTAAACTCGCAACGGAGAAAGGAAGGTAGAAAAGATCGGCTTCGGATGGATTCTTGGTTATGAAATGACTCTTGAACAGATTCTTCTTGAAGTAACTTTCGCTGGCATAGTTGCCACCGGGTTCATATTTTACAGGTAAGAGCAGATTCGCAAATGGATCTCCGGGTTTGACCGGATAAACAAAGATCTTTAAACTCTTGTTCATTTCCTTGTATTCTTGGATGAAAAGATTTCTATCGTGATACACTTCCAGAACATCCGATTGGTTTCCTGAAACAATACAATATATTAATAATATGTGATGTGAAGACCAATTTGATGTAGTACTAAAATTAGGTGAAGAATAAAATACGGATTATATACATTGGTCGTTAAAACTAATTAATCAGCCTGCAATTGATTCCATAACTAAAGGCAAAAAGTGACACCTTGAACGTACGTATGAGGTCACTTTAGAAAGCAATTGGACAAAGCATGCATTATGATGCGAGAACAAAGAGACTTCCGTGCTAGCTAGCACAGGATGATGTGTATTGATTCTTCGCGTTACAAATTTGACAATTTGTCCGGAGAGTTAAGTGTTCTAAGCGGACGCATATATCCCACAGTACATAATTATACAAACGGACATTATGAAACAGAACAAACAATAATCAGTATGTACGCATACAAAAGTATTACTATTCCTTTGTCCCCACAAAAAAAATTCTATTATACTTTGTAATTTGTACTAAAAATAATACAGATCGCAAATTGTAACCTTTGATTCTGAAATGCAAGGAATATTTTTCCAAGCAATAATTATATATTTTTAAAGCATTAAAAAAAAGATTACATAACATTAATTACATATGTACAAACGTGCGTGAGTGATTTGGTAACAGTAATTAAAAATACCAGAAGATTGGAGTAACTTAATGAGTGAAGAAAAAGAAACTCATTTGGTCAATAAAAATGACGTGAGTGAAAAGGTTGTCTTGGTTGTGTACAGTACCTTTTTCGTTGCCCTGCGGAAGCATCCTTCCATCATCATCAATCTCAAGCCACTGATTATGATGATTTCCGGAGGAAAGACGAGAAGTTTTGCCGACGGGCTCTGGAAGATCAATAGTACTACTTTTGTCTTCTTCTTCTTCTTGTTGGACATGATTCACGTTTACACGATCATAATAACCAGAAAATAAGCCACTCCCGTTTACCAAAACTGGATGGGAGAAGTTCCGGTCACCATGACCAGTACCAACGTTGGCCGGCGCCTCAGAAAGTACTCTAAAGTACTCCTCATGCGAAACCAGCCGGAGGGATGTTTTACCGGACTCTACTCGGTTTGGTGGACCGCCGGCGGCAGGCTTGATATTGCTGATCACATGGACTGAGGTTGGAGTTGTTTTTGGATGAGTAAACAATTTGGAGGTACAAGTTATGTAGGAGAAAATGGAAAAGCAGGTTATGAAAGCTAAGTATGAGGGGATGATCAAGAACAAGGTTTTGAATGAAGGGGCCATGGATGGTGATCCAAGGGGGGGGGGGGGACAAAACCCAGATTTAAAGGTGCAGAAAGACGAAATTAGTCACAGGGAATTCTGTGCCATGGAGCACCGCTGAGAGTGATGACACGATCGATAAGTCAAGCAGCCGGAATTATTTGTTTATGATGATCGATTTTTGGGCTTCTTTTTCTTTGTTTTTTTAATAAAAAAATGCTTAATAACATTCAGTATTTGCCGTGTGGACATGAATAAGAAAACAAACAAAGAGACATATGTATTCGCAAAAATAAATTAAAACAAATAAAGTTGGGGAGGTTTTATTCGAGTTTGTAGTTGTGGTCTTATGGACATACTCGAGAGAAATGGTTCGATGCAATGATATATTGTATAGGATAAAAAATGTAAATCTAACATTAGTTTATTGAAAATAATGAAGAAATTAATTTACACCTACGATTTCTGCGTATTCTCTCTCTCTCTCTACATATATACATAAAATTGAAAGGAATAATGAGCAAAATGGAACATTTTGTCCTGCTCAACCTATATATTTTTTGAGAGACTGATTTTATATATATGTAAAACACCACTTTTAAACCTAAATGATCCCAAGTCTCAAATGACTTCTTCGAAGCCATAACTCATACATTGCCATGTAAAAAGCATCATAGTCAACTGGAACGTGATGCCACTGGAAGTGTTTTTGGACCTCCATGACATTTCTTTGTAACCTCAGATAATTCTTCGAACTTACTTCTTTTGCAAGTATATTTTTCAGCATGGGAATATCCATGCTCATCATTACAACTGAAAAGCTCTCCCAGTTCAAGATGTCTGAAAATGGGAGATCATAATAATCTGCCAAGATCACCGGAACACAACCATAATACAAAGCATCCCCGATTCGGGCCGTGTTTACTTCGAACCCTTTTGCATGGAGGCAGAATTTGCTCCCAAGAAGTGACTCAGAGTATGGCGTTTTAATCCTGTTTTGGTGGACGGCAATTTCGGTGTCCTTTTCCCACACTTGAACCAGAAACTTTCTTTCTCTAGAGTTCATTGCTCCAGCGTAAAAGGCAAGCCTTTTCCTGATGAAAAGTAGTGGTGCAATTAATTTGAAGGCCATGATCACAAGAAAACAATCACCATCAAGAATCTATAAGGTACACATTCATTGTATTAAAAAAAAGGATCGACATTTATCATCTTGCTAGTATAAGAGAAGAAAAAGGACTACCTGGTACCAATGTTTTGATGAAATGCAACCTTCAAAAAAGGAAACTTGATTGATTGATTGAGACTTTTACTATTAATCAAAATTTTTCTTAGAGAATTAAAGAAAGACATTGTTCAAAAGAAATGTCACGTCTTGTGTTTTTATGCTTGGAATCAAACACGGCCTTTTTTTTTTCTTTTTATTCCCTCCGTCCCACTGTCCAATTTGAATTTTCATTTTCAATATTCGCAACAAAAGTAAAAACTCATACTAGACAAAAGGGAATATTGCGTACCTTTGTGATGGTGGTCTGGTTGGAGGGTTTCCTTTTCTAGGCCAAATTTGTGGAATAGATGCATCTTTGTGAGAAACATAACCAGTAAGAAAATAGCTGGAAGAGCACACAACTTGAATGGCATTGGTCTTCACTTCATCCGCTTTCACCATTGCTGTTCTTCCAATGGAATGACAAGCCACGTAGAAATGATCAGCCCCTCCTGTTCTATTCCAATAAGGATACTCATGACTGATGTTGTAAATATAGTTTTTGACAAAATCCGGGATTCCCTGAACACCAATTCTTCTATCATGCCTCAAAGTTGCCATGGAGAATGGAAGGTAAAAAAGATCAGCTTCGGCTGGATTTTTGGTTATGAAATGACTCTTGAATAAATTCTGCTTGAAGTAACTTTCACTAGCATAGTTGCCCCCGGGTTCAATTTCCTCTGGTAACATCAAATCTGCAAAGGGATCGTTTGGTTTTGGAGGGTAAATAAAGATCCTCAAGCTTCTGTTCATTTCCTTGTATTCTTGCATGAAGAAATCTCTGTCATGGTACGCCTCCAACGCTTGATCCTTCACTTTCTTCCCTGAAAAATTGATATGTTCTGCACATTATTAGACCGGATCAAAATAAGTGAATTACGAACGAAATTAATAAAGCATCGAGGGTCTAATAATTGATATTTACATTTACATTGAGGTTGTTTTTAGTTTAGGAATTGTCAACGGAAAACATAGATCTGAATGTCAATTTCATATATATGATAACGAATATACCAGATGATCGTGTATTCCCATGCGCGAACAGCTGTTCATTCCCTAGGATTATGTCCGACGTGCGTGTAGTACACTTCAATTTTTTTACGGTTAATATATATTGTCAGTCATGCATTGTGACTTTGAAAATAAGAAATGTATACCTTGGAAAAATGTACTTCATTCGTCCAATTTGAATTGTTCTTTCTTTTCTTTTTCTTTTTTTTTTCAAATTTCAACTACTTAAGTTATTGGAATAAGAAAGAGAATATTAAAATTGAACGAATGAAAAGTATATAGTTTTTCAAGGTATACATTTCTCTAAGTATTGGAATTTCCAAGAATAGGACCACACAGAAACTAAATTATGATTTTTGACCGTAAGGACCTCAAGTAAAATGTCTCTAATTTTGAAGGCTTGGAGCTTCTAAAACAAAACTCAAAATTTGCGCGCTGACAATATTATTGTACGGAGAACAGTTAATAGATTGAATTGAACCCACAACAGAAGAGGGAAGAAACTCAAGAAAGAGACCGGAGGAAAAGTCATATGGTTTATCCAAGAAAATTAAGCGGAAAGAAAGTCTTTGTAATGTTACCTTCACTTCCCTGTTGAGGTCCTACATCATTAGGCCGCCGATTTTGATTCCGGATATAAGAAGGCAAAGTTTCGCCGGCCGGCTCCGGATGAATTCTAGTTGTATTATTGGGTTCAACCTGATCAAGATGAGCACCACCAGAATCATTGCCATTGTTATCAACGACGTGGTTGGCCGGCACCGACGACAACCTGAACCGCTCCTCCTCACGATATGAAATCCGCTGGTGGGTTGTTGCCGACGAGACTACTTCCGCCGGAAAATGATTGATGACGGAGTAAATTTGCAAGGGAGGCTTAAGGGTTAGATGGGTTGGGTGTGGAATCTTATTAGGATGGTTTAACAATCTCGACGTAGAATTTATGTAAAACAAAATGGAAAAACAGGTCAAACAAGCTAAGCCGGAAGATATGAAGAACAAGCTTTTGAATGAATCTTTTAGCTTGCGATCCATGGCCATACAATCTTGCTAAGCTACAAGAAACACACACAGTCACGCAGTAATTGAGAGAGAGATGGAGAAGATTCTAATATATAATACAGAGGGATCATGACGAATCTATATTTGGTGGCTCTCTCTAGAGTCTATAGTAGTCAGGACAAATAGTAATACATAATTTTTCAAGTTGCTTTCGTTGTTGTTATGGTCAGCTTCCTAATGCTGTCAAGTTTGAAGGCAGGCGGGCAGGCTGGCTGCTTTGAGATTAGATTATACAATATAAATCAGCGATTACAATCGGCTTAATTAATTTTGACATATTTACCAATCAGCAATTAACGTGACATAATCTGGGAATTTGAATATATAATAATACTATTATGAGATTCCAGTTTGGATTTAGGATTGTCGTGCACGTAAACTTTGTAACAACCGCAACATTTTTGTCAAAAGGGAGGAAAATTGTAGATGTATCTCTCAAGGTTGGAACTGGATGGATGTTACAATCACCTATTGGCTTATCAATGAAAATTTTGACATCTCTAATTTTAAATTTTGAATTGGAAATTGATACTCAAAAATGTTGCCCTTTGCCATGATCCCATGCTACAATGTATATATATCCTGTGATTAAATGCACACAAAAAAAAGAAAAAAAAAGAAAGAAACCCATCCCTCCCAAAAACAAAAGCCTTAATTTTGCAAAAAGTCTTGTTTATATAAATGATTTATTAGTTAAAAGAAACTCCATTTCAAAAAAAAAAAAGTTAAAAGAAAGTAATTATTAAAGGATTAATGATATACTTATGCAAGAAAAGAAGAAGAGGAAAAGAGAAAGAGTATTGTTACTGCCAAAAACATTAACACTGAAAACTTACTTATGAAACATATAGCAAAACTACATCTATTCTGGAACTTTGATTCTCAGAATGTTAAGGTTTCAGATCTAGTTCCTTCTTCAATTTCTATGCTACTACTTTATGTGTCTAATTAACATCACCACTACAGTAATGAGCAGAGGAATATCCACAATTAATGGTTCCAAAGTGTGCGGGGCGCAGGATAACAGCTTGAGCTTAGGGGAATTAACTACAAAGTAATCCTAAGTAACAGAGAAGTGGAAGAGAGGCAATCAAGCCAGAGAGCTTATCAGCGGGAATTTGTACCTTTCAAGAAAGCACCAACCCACACAAAATGCAATACATATTCAGTTTTTCCTGATCAAGTTTTTTGCTTATTGTCATCAGACTATATGTTTATCAGTTTTTCTTTGAGAAAATTATATCACGGAATCTCTTTCTGAAATCTTTTCCAATTTCATTGCATGTATATCCCGATTCCACCGGGGATAATTTTGGTATAGAAGTACGAGTAAAATTTCATTTTTTTTTAGGAAAGTAAATATTTATGTTTACTGGCTTACTTTAATAACGGTGACAAATAACATATGCTGTACTAAAATTTTTTAGGGCCTGCAAATTGAATCTTTGTGAATCCAAAGCAAGTGGTATTGATTTTGGTGATTGATATGAGATGGGTCTTTTGATTTGAGAGGCTTAGAAAGTTCACCTTCTCTTTTTGTTCATCTTTCTGGTCTGTGATTTCGCTGGGTTTTTGAAACTATAATTACTAGGATATAGTGTGGTTGGTTCTGCAATTATGGGTAAGAATGGCGGGAGTGATAAAAAAGAGGCTGAAAATGGATTAGGCTCTTCGAAAATTGTATTGAATGGCGAAAGAGAGGAGGAGTCGGCGGGGAAGCCTAGAAGGAAAGTTCAATGGAAAGATAGTAATGATGGAGACAAACTCGCAGAAGTTTTGGAATTTCAACCAAGTGATTCTGATCTAAGCGAATTCAATGATGAGATCGATTCCAAAGATTGCTGCTGTAGCATTATGTAGGTAATCTTAAAGCTTCCAATCCCATCTGTTGTAGTGTTTTGCACTTAATTTGCCATTCCTTTGTATGATGTATCGAACAAAGTTTGTAGGTGTTCATGTTGCATCATAATTTCTCCACTCAATTTCCTTCTTTCTGGTTTCCCAACCATAAAGGTGAAAAAAAAAACACCCAAAAAAGTAACAACAATAGAATAAAACAGCCAGTCATGGTTCTAATTGTTTTTTCATTTTTGCATTACCATCTTCTCCATCAGCTGCAAATGCATTGGAGGCATAAAGAAAAAAACCATAATTTGTCTTACAGAATACAGTTAAACTCTGAAAACCAGTAGCTAGTTGTGTTCAAAGTCACATATCAACCAGCCAAGGGTATATTCTCAAATGTTGAAAACAAAACAATACAAGAGTTTTGCTCAAAGCTTGAAATATATCTTCTTCTTTTTTTTTTTTCGGAGCAAAAATCAAGATCCCCTGAAAACCTCTCAATTTTGATCCTTGAATTTGACTATCGCCCGGGATGATACTCGCGAAAACTTGCTCACTTCTTTCAAAATGTAAAGTCCTCCATCATTAACTATCTCGAAATTAGGCTCGATAACCATAGTTTCCAGCATTAGCAATTTGTTCAACAGCATTCGCATGAAAGCTAACTCAGGCCACGACCCCGTTACGTATAGCATCTCCACCTCACGAACATGACAAGATGAAATATCCTTCTCCTTTAGCCCTTTGAAGAACTCCACAGTATCACGATTTGTCAAAGCTTCGAAATTGGAAAAAACCTAGAAGGGACGAAATGGATCATGAAATTGTTAAAAAATAAAAATAAAAAAAAATCAAGTAATCAAAGGGCTTAAATAAAGCTTCAAAATCAAGTAAAGTGTTTGGAGACTAATGCTCACCCGTGCCACAGCGATTTTAATTTTCCGCAAAGTTGGGCAACCGTCAATGAATAGCAAAACGCCTTTGACCTCATCGACACTTGGAAAGTATATTCCATGAAGTGAAAGAACGCTGAGGTTCTTAAACTTAAAGCTTGAGCCAGCTCTCAATAACATCTGAAAAAAAAAAAAAGGTATTGAAAGAATAAAAAATAAAACAAAGAAAACCAATCAAGCTAATTACTGCTTAGTGCTTACCTTCATATAGTAGTGATCCAAGGCCAGTATACAAACATGCTTGAGAAAATCTTTAGCTTGCAATGTAGTCTGTTTTCCTTCAAGCATCGCCCTTGGCACGTTCGAGATCAAGGAAACATTAATCAGGCGAGGAGCAAATACTCGAATCGAAGTTCCAAAATATGTGTGACAGAACAAGCACTTGAGCTTAGGTGAGATGACTGTAAGAACATCGCAAGGAGGAGAACCATCTAGACAAAGACATTTCAGGAAAGGACTTCCGGCAATGAACCTCGCAAGCACATCAGCAGTGACAGTGATTTCACTTAACATGAGCCGAACAAGATTACTGAACCCTCTGAATGAAGGAGGAGGTTTGATATCACAACCACGAAGAATTAACTTCTCTAATTCCCGACACGAGAAAGTAGATGAATGTAAGGTGTGACGATTGCCTCTTGGAAACTTGAGGACCAACTTCTGGACACCCTTTCTCGACACAGATTTCATGAACTGGTCAGTTTCCCAACAGCTCTCCAGCCCGGGAATAGAGAGTTTAAACTCGAGGATTGGCCCGTCATGAGCTAGTAATATCTGAGATATGCGCAGCAGCACTTTCTCCCTTGACGAAGGATCTAGGGGGTAGACTCTGCCAAATGTACGATCGAATACGAGTTTTGGAAGTTTCAACCACACATTCCTCCAATGACGTGACAAAGCACAAGTCCGGGCTGCATCACGCAGGGGCATCAATCCCAAGATGTGTTGGATTAATTCGCTGGGGAGGTTGCTGATTATATCAGCACTAGGGTTACTCCGAGCATTAGAATGCTCCGAGATTTCACTCATCGTAAATCTGGATTCATACACAGAAGAATGTACATATAAATTACGAGTGCTATATGCTGCATGTACAAACTAACTACAAAAGTAATCAAAGTTCAAAGAAGCCGAAGACATTTTAACGCACAGTACTTCAAGAAGCACGTGTTATCATTTTGAAAAAGTTCAACTGGTTTATGTAGCTTTTGCGTACGATGAGATGAAATTATTGATGTCTTGTCAGATACGTAACTGAATCAACTTAACATCAAGAAGCCAGAAAACCCACAGGCGCGCACGCACACTAAATTGAATCAACTTAACATCATGTCAAGGAGGTACATTACAATTTAATTTCTGATGTTAAAAAATACGCAGACTTGCTGACAAGTAAATCAAGTCAACCATTCAAACTGCAAAACCCTAATTGGAAAACGAGATTTAAGACTTCAAGTAATTGTACTAGTTGCAGATAGGGGTGACAATTCGTGTCGAGTTAGGGTTGGTGGGTCGGGTTCGACCCGATCTAGATATTTTTTAGGCCAACCCGAACCTGAACTCGACATGTTTAACTATACAGGTCAGGATAGTGAAACCTAACTTGACCTTATAAAAACCAGGTCAACCCGTGTCGACCCGTTTAACCCGACAAAAAGAATCAAAACATAAACAACTACAAATCTCAAAGCACAATCTGATATATTTTCCAACAGATTGAGAATCCAACTAGTTAAAATATTGGGGTCAGTATCTCTTACAATCCATCAAACAAACAAAAGTCTATTCCATATTTGGAAGAAAAAAATCACAAAATTTTCGGCCATTTTTTATATATATTTTACCAAATCACTACTTCCAGATCCCTTCCCTACACCTAAACCTCTCTTCAAACAGAAAAAATAAATAAATATAAAACCACCTCCACAGTTGCCACCTTCACCAGACGCAAATGAGGAAGTTTCAAGCCAGATTCGGATGGTCGTTGACCATTAATGATTGCGCCATCTAAATTTCATCACCCGGCAGATAAGAATGGTAATTTTGATAATGATAATGCTAAGAATGGAGGTTTGCTAATGAGGTTGAGGATGATGATGGGGACTTGGATTTGGATAGGTTTGCTACTAGGGTCTGGGAGTTGGAATTCAGGGATTTGAAACCGAAAAAGGGGAAAAGAGGTTCTGTTAGGAATCAGGTAAAGTCCAATTGGGTATCATAAAAAATTCATGGAAGCGAGAAGAAGTTGACTGATGGAGGGGATGGTGATGGTGGGGGAACTTTCAATTTGGGTTCGCAGATGCGAGAAGGACGGAATGAGAGGGTAAGGTTAAAGTCAAAAGATGAAATTATATATATAGCATAAAGATAAGGGTAACTTTGATGTAAAGTTTCCAAAATACCCCTACACATACATAAATTATATATATACGGGTAACCCGACAGGTTGACCCGAACGTGACCCTATAATAAACAGGTCAACCCTAACCCGACCTGTTTATTATACGGGTCTAAAATTTCAACCGACCCTGTTTATTTTGTGTCGGGTTCGTGTCGAAATTCCGGATCATGTCGGGCATTGCCCGCCCTAATTGCAGATCATAAAATCTCATCACATATTAAACTGTGTATCAACAAATGGAATCATAAAGTTGATATGCTGTGTATTTCTCACATGATTAAGATCTCATATATCTACTTCTAAAATAGCTAAGGATATGAAGCATTAAACAAATAGACGAAAAACAATTGCCTTTTTAGTACCTTCAAAAGTATGCACACAATCGCTGAAACAGAAAGGAATTCTTCACTTGTTGATGAATTGATCCTCTCACTGAAAATCCTTCCTATCCCTTCAATGAGTTCTCGACCCCCATTTGTTATCGAATCAAATTCACGTTTTCTTTTGATTTGAGAAATCACATTTGTAGCTTGTAGGGAAAAACTATTTTTTTGATGATACACTGGTTATCTTTAGTGGTGGTTAATAAAAAGTCAACTACCATTTTATTATCTGTTCACCATTAAATGGAGTGTAAGAAATTGGGAGGGTGTAAAAATTATTACACTGTTGAATACATAGTTTGGTGGGCCATATTGTAATTAATGCAAATTATTCTATTTAATTTTTAAATGATTAAAAGAAATTAACAGTTAGCTCAATCTTGGGCCCATGATCATTTAATATTGAATTAATTATATTACACTTTTATAGTGTAAGACCAATGTAATTAAAAGTGTAACAAAAATATAATGTGACAAAATGCTGATTTGGCATGTCATTATACCCACCATTGTGGATGCTCTCATTACAGTAATTTCTTGCTTTTGTGATAAAATTACACTCAATTCTGTCTGGCGCAGGACATTTAGCACTACTTATGTAGTGTCTTGTGGAGGTTTAAATAGTGTTTGTTGCCCTTATGTCGGGCTTTGAAGAAAAAAAGATTACACTCAAGTCTAAATTATGTCTCACTGAGTCACCCAATTAATCCGTATATTATGTCTCCCTGAATCACCCAGTCAATCCGTATTTAATTCACTCTTTTTTTAGTACACGTTACAAATACCAAATCTTCGTGTTTAATGTCAGCTTAACTATTCCTTTTTAGTATATTTATTTGCTTAACAATTACCTGCAGTCAAAATACTCTTATCATATTAATTTAGATTCATAAGACATAGTCATGTTCTAAAAAAATAATATACTTTGTTTATTTGATGATACACAGTTTTTAATTACAATAGTTTCTCGCATTTGTTATGAAATTACACTCCAATCCTTCCGGCGTGGGACATTTAGCACCACTTAAGTAGTGTCTTGTGGAGATTTAAATAGTGTTTGTTGCCCTTATGTCGGGCTTTCAAAAAAAAGATTATACTCAAGTTTAAATTATGTCTCACTGAATCACACAGTCAATCCGTATTTAATTCACTCTTTTTTTAGTACACGTTGCAAACACCAAATCTTCGGGTTTAATGCCAGCTTAACTATTCTTTTTTAGTATATTCGATTTACTTAACAATTACCTGCAGTCAAAATACTCTTATCATTTTTGTTTTGGATCCGTAAGATATATTCATGTTCTAGAAAAACAGTGTACTTTGTTTATTTGATGATACACGGCTTTTAATTATAATAGTTTCTCGCATTTGTTATGAAATTACACTCCAGTCCTTCTGGTGTGGGACATTAGCACTACTTAAGTAGTGTCTTGCGGAGGTTTTAATAGTGTTTGTTGCCCTTATGTCGGGCTTTCAAAAAAAAGATTATACTCAAGTCTAAATTATGTCTCACTGAATCACCCAGTCAATCCGTATTTAATTCACTCGTTTTTTAGTACACGTTGCAAACACCAAATCTTCAGGTTTAATGCTAGCTTAACTATTCCTTTTTAGTATATTCGATTTACTTAACAATTACCTGCAGTCAAAGTACTCTTATCATTTTTATTTTGGATCTGTAAGATATATTCATGTTCTAGAAAAACAGTGTACTTTGTTTATTTGATGATACACGGCTTTTAATTATAATAGTTTCTCGCATTTGTTATGAAATTACACTCCAGTCCTTCTGGTGCGGGACATTAGCACTACTTATGTAGTGTCTTGTGAAGGTTTTGAATAGTGTTTGTTGCCCTTATGTCGGGCTTTGAAAAAAAAAAAGATTACACTCAAGTCTAAATTATGTCTCGTGAGTCACCCAGTCAATCCGTATTTAATTCACTCTTTTTTTAGTACACGTTACAAGCAACGAATCTTCGAGTTTAATGCCAGGTTAACAATTCTTTTTTAGTATATTTTATTTACTTAACAATTAACTGCAGTCAGAATACTCTTATCATGTTAATTTAGATCCATAAGATATGGTCATGTTCTAGAAAAAGTGTACTTTATTTATTTGATGATACACGGCTTAAAATTACAATAGTTTCTCGCATTTGTTATGAAATTATACTCAAGTCCTTCCGACGCGGGACATTTAGCACTACTTAAGTAGTGTCTTGTGGGGATTTAAATAGTGTTTATTACCCTTGTCTCCAACTCTAAAAAGAAAATTACACTCAAGTCCAAATTGTGTCCTACTGAATCACCAAGTCACTCCGTCTTTAATTCACCCTTTTTAAATACATATTACAAGCACAGGATCTTCTGGTTTAATGCCAGCTTAACTATTCCTTTTTAGTATATTTTATTTACTTAACCACTAACTGCACTTAAAATACTCTTATCAGTCATGTTCTAGGAAAATAGTGTAGTTTGTTTATTCAATAATACACTGCTTCTAATTATAGTAGTTTTTCGCTTTTGTGATAAAATTACACTTTTGTTCTTCCAACGCTGGACATTTAGCACTACTTAAATAGTGCCTTTTGCTGGTTTAAATAACGTTTGTTGCCTTTTGTCTCCGGCTTTCAAAAAGAAATTACACTCAAATCCAAATTGTGTCTCATTGAGTCACTGGGTCACTCCGTCTCTAATTCACTTTTTTCTTTATATACGTTACAAGCACCAGATCTTTGTTTCTAATGCATATGCCAGATTAATTATTAGTTCTATAGTATATTTAATTCACTTAACCAACAACTACAGTCAAAATATTCTTATACAGGTAAATTTTGATCATGTAGGATATAGTCATGTTCTAGAAAAATAATATACTTTGTTGTACTATTATAATACAATAAAATTATTATTATTATTTTTTTGGAAAAGGAAGAGTGTAACTTAAGTTGCCATTGTAAATATTGTATGATCACAAAAATTATACTATGCGCATTAAGTGCAGCTTGCGTGCTCTTTACGCGTTAGCATGCGCACTCTTAATGCACAAAATTTTTATTTATTTATTTATTTTGGTTTACTGGGATTTTTTGGGTTTTAAAGTCTTTATAATTTTCAAATAATTTTATTTCTTAATCCGTAAAAAATTATTAGTTTATATAATTTTAATAGTAGTTGATGAGATCTTTCTAACAAGAGATATCATGAATATGTTTTTCAAAACTTAAAAATCTATTCAGTGCAGC